GCCGTACTTGACATGCCATCGCCGTCCTATTTTTCATAAAGGCTGTCCTTGAAAATACCATTGGCGTTTTTTTTTTTTTTCATAAATGCGGTCCTTGAAAATACCAAAAGGTTTCTTAACGTCAAAACGGGGCCGTAAATTGTACAGCGGAGTGCCCTGTTTCCGCTGGGTGAGTTCGGTTTCTTTGGGAGATGTGGGGGGGGGGGGGGGGCGGAAGGGAGGGGCGTTCTCTCTGTTCTCTCTTTCTCTTTCTCCCCTCTCTCTCTTTTCTCTTTCTCTCTCTCTGTCTCTCTCTCTCTCTCTCCGTTTCTCTCTCTCCTCTTCTCTCTTCTCTCCTCTCTCTTCTCTCTTCTCTAATCTTCTTTCTCTTTCTTTTCTCTTTCTCTTTCTCTTCTCTTCTCTCTCTCCTCTCCTCTCCTCTCCTCTCTCCTCTCTCTCCTCTCCTCTCCTCTCCTCTCCTCTCCTCTCTCTCCTCTCCTCTCTCTCCTCTCCTCTCTCTCCTCTCCTCTCTCCTCTCTCCCTCTCTCCTCTCTCCTCTCTCCTCCTCTCCTCTCCTCTCCTCTCCTCTCCTCTCCTCTTCTCTTCTCTCTTTCTCTCTCTCTCTTTCTGTTCTCCTCTCTTCTCTTCTTTCTCCACTCTCACTTTCTTGTCCTCTCTCTCTTTCTCTCTTCTCTCTCTTCTTTCTCTCTCTCTCTTTTCTTTTTCTCTCTCTCTCTCTCTTTTCTCTCTTCTCTATTGATGGTGGAACGATTTTTTTTTTCAATAGACTTAACTATACATTTTTGTTGTTTCTTTCATGGGTGGTAGATTGTCTCGACCCCTTAAGAAATATCAATAAAACTTTCTTGTAAACTTTGTTCATTGCTTCCAAAGACGGTAAATAATCTGTTACTTTTTTCTTTTTTTTTTTCTTTTTTTTTTTTGTAAATCTTCCTCTAAACATTTATCGGTGTTTTCAAGAACATTAGATTGTCTAGGCCACATTTTTTCAATAAACTTTCAATAAACATTTCGATCACTGCTTCCAAGTGCGGTAGATTGTCTGAGCCAAAAAATATCAATAAACTTTCCTATAAACTCTCGCCATTGCTTTCAGGAACGCATGATTATCAGGACCACATTTTTTCCCAATAAACTTTCTTATAAACATCATTTCTTCTAAGGACGCCTTTTCTTCCCCCGATAAACATTCCAATAAACTTTCTTAATTGCTTCCAACAACGGTAAATAGCCTAGGCCACATATGACGTTTGCAGCAGCCGCGAAAATACACATCAAAAGGTGTCGTTCATTCCGCAATGTTTAAAAAAAAAAACGACAAGGAAGTATGAGCAAAGAACCGGATAATGCGGCAACCAAACACCTCGGGTTATAAGTTCAGTGGGTCAACCGTAAAAAAAAACCCTCCCGCAAACCCCCATCCCTCCTTCTCTCCTCCCCTCCCTCCTCCCTCCCTCCGAAAAGCATACATACACACACACGCACACACTCATAACCCGCCAACCCCTCCCCACCCCACCCCACACACAAGCACTTACCTCCGTTAGCCAAGCATGTAAACAAAGGATGCGTCGAATATTCACTCGTTCGGAAGCGCTGACGAGGTCTTCGGTAAGGCAAAATAGTCTTTTTTTGGAACACTTGTGCCCTCCTCACGGGGAAGATCATGAGGATGACTTTCAAAAATAGGAGGTAAATAGCGGGAGCATCGAGGGAGGAGGAGGGGGGGGAGGGAGGGAGGTGGAAGGTGGTATGACGAGCAGCTGGAGACAAAGAAAGAGAAGAGAGGAGGAGGAGGCGAATGGCGGGAGGGAAAGAAATAGTGAGAAGGAGGCAGAGAAAAAGAAACAGAGAAAGAGTCGAACGGCAGGTGGCAAAAAAGAAGAAAGATGAGAAGAGGGAAGCAGTCAAAGAAAAAAAGAAGAGAGAAAAAGGTGAATAGCAGGAGACAAAGAAGAGAGAATGAGGCGAGTGGATAGAGACAAGAAAGAGAAGAAGAGAGAAGGCAAAAAATAAACAAAAAAAACGAAAAATGGAATAATTGGAACAATGAAGAGAGAAGGAGGCGCGTGGATGGAGACAAAGAAAAAGAGGGAAGGCAAATAGCTGAAGACAAAGGAGAGGAAGAGAGAAGGAGGGAGTCTAAGATAAATGCGGAGATAAAGGAAAAGGGAGAGAGAAGGACGAAAAAGATAGAAAAGCATTAAATGTAAAAACGAAAGGAAATGAGGGTTGCAAAAGAAATAATAAATCAAATGTATAAACAAATACGTACGAAGGAACCAAGAAAAAAATATAAAAATGAACAATAAGAAAAAAAAGAAATAATCCTCAAAAAATAGAAAAATATAAAAAAAAAATTATATATATATATATATATATATATATATATATATATATATATATATATATAACGAAAGCAAAACATGCCAGAGCTCACGCCAAGGAACACCACACCTCCTCCTCCCTCCCTCCCCTCCTTCCCTCCCCTCCCTCCTCC